GACCTTAATGAGCTTTTTTTTTTCCCTCGCAGTGAGGCCCAAGCGCCAGGAGGGATCGGGCGTTACGTGACTCAGCCGAGGGCACGGGGAGCTGAACCCAACCCATGGTCCTCAGTGGCCACCGCCACCGCCCCTCGGTTGTCCCCAAAGACCCAGGGGAGATGCTGGCCCCCAGGACCCCCGCCCCCCTCCTGCCTCGGTCTCTGGGGTCGCCACTAAAACCAGCAGCAACCAGCAAAGGCGCCGGCCTGGAGCTCCACGTCCCAACCCCCTCCCAGCAGCCAAATCTTCCCTAGCGCCTCTCCATCGCCTGACGGCGCAAAATCCTATGGGAGGGAAACTGAGGCAGGGAGGGGCGAACAGAGCCCGGCGCACACAGCAAAATCCTAGAGGAGGGGAAACTGAGGCAGGGAGGGGCAATCAGAGCCCGACGGCGTGGAGCAAAATCCTAGAGGGGGGGAAACTGAGGCAGGGAGGGGCAATCGGAGCCCAACGGCGCAGAGCAAAATCCTAGAGGGGGGGAAACTGAGGCAGGGAGGTGCAATCGGAATCCAGGGCGCAGAGCAAAATTCTACAGGAGGGGGAAACTGAGGCAGGGAGGGGCAAACGGAGCCCGGGGCCACAGAGCAAATTCCAATGAGGGGGGAAACTGAGGCAGGAAGGGGCAATCGGAGTCCGGAGAGCAGAGCAAAATCATATGGGAGAGGGGAAACTGAGGCAGGGAGGGGCAATCGGAGCCCAGGGTGCAAAGTCTTATGGGAGGGGGAAACTGAGGCAGGGAGGGGCAAACAAGAGCCTGATGGCACGGAGCAAAATCCTAGTGGAGGGGAAACTGAGGCAGGGAGGTGCAATTGGAGCCCAGGGCGCAGAGCAAATTCCAACGAGGGGGGAAACTGAGGCAGGGAGGGGCAATCGGAGCCCGGGGCGCAGGTCCCGGCACCCACGCCACGTGCTGAAAGGCGAGGGCTCCTCACTTACCCACGGGGCTCGGGCAGGCTCCGTTCGTGTTGTTCAGGTCTCCCCCGAGCATCGCCCCTGCAAAGCAATCGGAAACACAGGGTCACGGTCCGCTCGGGAAGAGGGTGAGCATCCCTCCTTTTGGGGGG